CTCAGCCCTTGTTTTTCCCCCCCATCAGGATTTCTCCTTCCCAAAGCCTGGCCAGATGAAGGAGGCTGCGAGGAAGAGGAAGATGCCAGGGGCCCCCCGGGCAGGTGAGGAGGAAGTCAGTGCCCCTTTGCCCTGTCCTGTCCTGTATCTCCCAGCCCAGCATCGCCCCCGGCTGCAGGACAACCCCGCTGCTGCCACCGTCCTGCCGGGGCCGGATTTGGGGGGATGTCCTTGGCCTTCCCTCTGGGCTGAAGGCAAATCCCCTCCCTGTGCTTCCTTCCTGCCCCAGGCCCCAAGCTGAGGACGGAGGGCACGAGGACAAATCCCCCCAGCAGACCCTGGTGGGAGAGGCTGTTTTGAAGGGCTCCATGGCACAGGACGGCAGTGGGGAGGAAAAGGCCTGGAGATCCCCCTGGAGAAGGGGCTTGAAAGCCAGCCCAGGGTGCTCTGAGGAGGAAAGACCCAGCCTGTGCCGGGAAGGCAGCCGGAGCTTGAGCCAGAGCTGCAAGGTGGTGGTCCCTGAGCAGCCTCCCAGCAGGGAGAAGCCCTTCAGGTGCTTGGGATGTGGGAAGAGCTTCAACAGCAGCTCCAAGCTTGTTGCCCACCAGCGTGTCCAGACAGGGGAATGACCCTAAGAGTGTGAGGAATGTGGGAAGACCTTCCTCTATGGCTCCCACCTCCTCACCCACTGCCGGGTGCACACGGGGGAACGGCCCTACAAGTGCTTGGAATGCGGGAAGGGCTTCACTGTCAGCTCCCGCCTGATCCACCACCAGCAGATCCACACTGGGGAACGGGGGCCTCTGCCCTACAAATGTGGGGAATGCAAGAAAAGCTTCACATGCAATTCTCAACTCGTCATCCACCAGCTTGTGCACATGGGGGAGAAGCCCTACGAGTGTGGGGAGTGTGGAAAGAGCTTCACCTGGAGCTCTGTCTTGATCAAACACCAACAGACCCACCAGTCAGGGAACCCCTGCGAGTGCCCCGACTGCGGGAAGAGCTTCATCTGCTGCTCCAACTCCATCACATGTTGGAGGAGGAATGGGTCACCTTGGGAACAGGTGACCCACATTCCCAGTGACCCACACTGGGAACAGGTGACCCACATTCCCAGTGACCCACACTGGGAACAGGTGACCCACATTCCCAGTGACCCACCTTGGGA